TTCTCTGTTCTTTCCTTTTAGAGGTACAAGCTGAAGCTCTTGTTGAAAATAGCTCTATAAAAGAAGAGTTAAATTCATAAACGCTAAATCTGTTATTCCACTTATTAATAAAAATGGTTTGTTAATGCTATGTCACATTTTTATTGTGTAAATGCTTAATAAAAACCAGTACTTAGCCACTACGAAGGTAGCCTTAAGAGTCACTTAGATATTTTGGTAACCAGTTCAAACTTTTGACCTTAAAGATTGAACTGCTCAAACTATTTGCTTATTAATAGTTATAACTAGCTTCAAAGTTTTGGCTTAACTATTCTATTGTTGGTTTATAATCATAAATTGTTTATATTGTTACCAGTGCATAACCTTTGTAAAGCAAGTTTTTAAAAATGTCATAAATGTGTATATGTGTATAATAAAAAAGTATAATAAACGATGATCATAAATTTTGCTAGTGAGTTTAAATACGATATAACTTAGGTGCTTGTTTTAACTTCTTTACGTACGTGCAATATAAAATACCATCCTTTAACTTTTATGATTTAATTACTTCAAAACTAAATTATTGTAAAACCTTAATTTATTCATGGTTTTTGGTGGCGTTTTATTATTACTTACTTTAAAAAGTTTTAAGTGGGCTACATGTTTTATTAAAAAAAGCTTAATTTACATCATACATGCACATGAATCAAAATTTATTATTGGTGCGACGAGAACAAGTGCAAAGCTAACCATAATTTTTGTCTTTTGATCTGGCTTGTATTAAACTATCCAGATCTAGTAAGTACAACCACAAAAGGGCCAATAAAGATAAGGCATACTTAAAAACGGTTAACTTAAATTTAAAATTTACAGTATGTGTTCGATATGAGAGTTATTAGAGTTGAAAAAAAAAACAATGTCACATACCTTTCAATAAGAAAATCCAACACTGGAAAGTAGCAGGGGGAATGGGGATTGGGTGAGCTCACCACTCTGAGGGACACACAAGAAGATCTGGAAGTTCAGATGCACTACACACTTCGAAATGGGAAATTTAGTACTATTATTCACTGATTAAGAGATAGTTTTTAAAGTGGGGACACTTCCACCACGAGGTGGTCAAAAGACCGAGAGATTGCCAGACAAACGGCGCGGTGCGGCACATAGGTCCGATCGAGGAAGGTTTTAGACGCTAACTGAATAAAATCATGGTGGGGAAATTTGAATTTTCCATGAGAGGGAAAGAGACAGAGATATATCACGCCATATGACGTAGGCATCGTATGATTTTAAGGAGAATGTGGGGGAGGGAATTGCCATGGTGTGTGTGTGTGTGTGTGTGAGTAGAGTAGAGTACATTTTACAGACTTAAAATAAGTGACTAACACACAAATAAATGTTGAAAAACTATGCACACTGTTAATTAAATATTAATAAAATTAATGATTGATGATGAGACTACTAATTAACATATTTACCAAACCGTACTGAACAGTATGAAAAAGGTCTTTTAATTATTCCTTATATAAATAAATAAAATATACACAGTTAGTCTGGAAAAAATAGTTCATATGACGTTTAGGAAAGATTAAACTTTCATATGAATTTTTATGTTATTTCCTAAAGCAATAAACTCTGCAGAAATTTCAAGGAATCGCTGGACCACAATGTTGTTTGTGTTGTGTTGGAGACACACACACACATACACACATATTAAATCATCTACCCACTAACATGCTTTGGCATTGTTGGGATTTTACCTTCTATAGAGAGTGGCGGTCACAGACCTATACATATTACTCAGTCGAGTACATTGTGAGCTTTCGCCGCATGAAACTCCAAATCCAGATATTCGGATCATCAAATAAATACGAATTATGTGCTTGCGTCTATTCAAGTTTTATGAACACGAGCACTCTATTGAATTCTTGAAATTTATAAAATATTGTAAGATGATATAGTTGGTCTGATGATGGGAACAAAGATTGGCGAAATAAATTGCCTTCTCTGCAATAATTATTATATATACAGGATGAATCATACCACCCGTCCACAACGGTTTGAACCAACAAGCGATAATAAAATGAATTTTTTATTGAAAATCCACCATTAAAATCTTTTAATGGTTTACAATTTTAAAAGCCACTTTAGGCACTTTTCTTTCAATGTAGGGGCCATTAAAAAGTACAAATATATATCCGAAAAGTAATTTTAAAAATTAAAAACACGTCTAAAATCTAAGAAATTTTTAATTTTTTATAAATAGGGCGTTTTTTGTAGGTGAAGGAGTACGAAAAACGCCGAAGAGTGTCTTGTAGAAAATTTAAATCCTAACCATGAAAATTCTCTCAAATCTTTGCTCTTACCGTTATCGAGCCATAGCCATAAAAAACGTGTTTCTCTAAAAAAGATTTAAGTGAATTTTCTTTTTTTTTTTTGGGGTGGGGGGGGGGGGGTTGTAATTTGAAAATGTAACTTTTTAGGGTTTTCTGGTTGGCTTGGGACCAAGATGGACCTCCACAAAAAAATGCAAATCCTAGCTATTCTAAAAGTGGGTAAACATTTGTATACCTGATCGTTAAAGTATGTGCACGGGTGGTCTGATTCACCCTGTATAATCATTGACTATACACAAAGAAGACTCTCCATCCAATTAAACAAATAGAAGCCAAAAAACTTGGTGCAGTCTGTTGATATAGATTACCAACTCATGGCAATTTTCTGTGTCAAGTGATAAATCAATCAGTTGCTGGCATGGATTTTAATTAATATTTAACCCAATACACTAGTACCCTCTGGTTAGATGGTACTAAACCATCTATTTTTATTTCTTTCTTTTTCTTTTTATTTAATTTTCTTCTTCTATTTTATTGGATTCACATTTTTACATTAGAAGATAAGTCTACTCTGTGTATGTTTAGTCAATGATATAATAAAGAGTTGTTTGACACAGAAACTATATTTTTAACGAATAAATAATGAAAATTTTATATTTTGCTACATAATACTTATGGATGTGAGGGCTATTTGATTTTATCATGACCATATTTACATGCTTAGTGATTGTGTTTCCAGCCCAGTACCTATCGTCTCGGACTTTGGGTTGGGTAACGAGCTGGTCATTAGTGGTACATTAGTAGTAGAGTGCGGGACTTCGGTCCCCGTGGCCCCCGGTTTAAATCCCGCCAATCACCAATGGATTTTTTTCCATGTGATAATAACTCGACCATCTAGGACATGCCTGAAGTAATGTGTAGAACAGTTCCGGGCTGGAACCTAGCCCACTATAGGATGTGAAAGTGGGACATTAAAAAAATCGGCTCGTACTTTGGGACGAGAGGATCGAGCTCAATCCCGGGCATATAAATAAAAATGGAGACGTTAAGACCAATTTTATCTAAACGTGTTCCCCTACACACGTGTGCCCTAAACGTGTGTTGTGTGTTTAACAAGATCTTCTTCCATAAAAATGCCACTAGCGTGGATAAAAACAATCAATACAAACAGATAAAGGATTGATTTTAAAATTTATATGGCTTTCATAAAGACGTTCATAGTTTATCCAACATTATAAGGTGTAGCATATATCGAAGTATAGCCAGTAGTATTTATAGAGCATGTAACTGTGTGTCACCACACAACGATATTGAACCAATTTCTTGGTGAGGTACTAAGGCTACAACGATTAATTAGGTCAACATGTTATACGCTATCTTAGTTACCTTAGGTGATATTTAAGGATCGTTATAGAATATATGGAACATACCCTTGGATGCTGGTTGATTGAATTGTTGATCGAAGCTATCCATGTCAATAACCTATTAGAACATTTTGCACCATTCCAAGGAGATTCCCTATTGAAAATGCTAAATATGTTAATATTATTCTTTTTGGTTCTGAATAAGGTTTTCTAGTTTGTACTTATTGGTCGACATTTTCAATTTGCAGTTTTAAGTATTTTTGGTGATATTCTTAAAATAACGGTTATAAAAATTTATGTATCTCAGGTTCTATTAGCTAGAATTTCATGATCGAAGTGTCATTTTTAGGGGTTTTAGTCTTCTAAAAAGTGTTGTAAAATTATGTTTGCATCTATTTAAAAATAATGTTACTAAGAGAATAACAAAAACTATTTTTTATTTATATAAATAATTTGGATTTAATTTATAATCGTGTTACATGAATAATTCTACCTAACCTTTATCATGCTAATAAGGAATATTGGGTAAAAATGTCAACCTTGTGCCACAAGTGATCATTGAGATGTATCATTTTAGTATTGAAAAACCCGTAAAATCCATACTTCCGGGAACCGGGGGCTGGCTAGGGTTATCAGGAAACCTGGATAGGCAGTTTCCAATGGGACGGAGGCATGCAGTGTCTTCTTTAATCTTTTGTCATATACAAATTTAAAAATGAATACTTATTTTGGTTTTCAAACAGTCCCTTAGTGTTAAAACCCCTGCGTTTCTTTAAGAAAACTTTTTTCTCAATAACTTGACTTAAAAAAAACATCAGATTTAATTGCATTACCTTTGTTATCTTGGATGCCATACGAATTAGTAATATCGTGCTCTAGTGTACGACTGCATTACACATATGCATGCCGTTTCGGCCTATTTTTCCAGTCTATCTTCAGAGCAGCGAAAGGGTTACTGGTCATCTGAAACGAAGCCGAAACATCAGCACATGTCGTGTGTATTGCAATTTTTTTTTCTGAATACCAGACAATGTCACCTTATCATTGACTACATTTAGCTATTATTGTCGCGAAAATTTGTATATTGTGAAATCTCAATTGCTCTAAAAGCAAAGTGTTTTATACCCATCACGACTTTGTGTATAACAGGAATTGAACTCTGACCCCCTCCTACCAAAGTTAAACACTCTAACTACAAGGCTAGCAACACAAAAACACACTTAAACTCTTTACTATTCAATCTCTTCTCTCTTTCAAATTTTGTTCAATTTGTTATACCCATTGGATGAATACTAATGTTGCGTATTTTGCCATGTTTTAGAGAGCCGACATCGTTAGGATGGGTGGCTGGCAGAATGGGAGACATTGACTTTGCCAAGCTCTACAACTGCACGGCTCTGCTGCTGGACAAAGACCCGTTCGTCAACGTATCTTCCGTGTGGGCTCTGAACCGTACTCAGGTACTGTATAAATGTATAGTATATACAAATAAATATATGTATTTATAATTTATATATGACTATTATCGTCTTCTGTGTTATCAAAACCGTCTCCTGACCTTCAGTCAACCTGGGACTAGCCTGGGCCTCAAAACCGAACTCTGAAACACCCTCTAGGGTGCTTTACTAAAAACGTTTTTTTTTTATTTAAGGAACCAAACGGTATGGTAGTATGGATTTTTACTACCTCTATACTTATTTTAATCTCTGTACATATTGTTAAAAATTAAATAATTATAAGGAAAAGACAAAGTATCTCGTATTCTCAAGATAGAGCAAATTCTGAACAGCAATCTAACAGTTGGTGAGGTAAAATACTTTAGAGAACGATAATTTAAATACTTAGGAGTAAAGTTTTCTCAAGATAACAAAGAAGTAGAAAAGCAGACTTTAGCAGCAAGGAAAAGTTTCTTCTCTGTATAAAATTGCTAAACTCCAAACAACTCAAAAACAACAAAACAAGAACGTACCACCCAATTATACTACCAGACCACAACAAAAGTTCTGAGAAACGATTTATAGTTGTTTGAGGAATATATTTTAAGGAAAATATATGGCCCAATAATTTAAAATGGTGAATGGAGAATCAGACGAAATCAAGAACTAACTCTGTACAAACATCCGGACAGCCAACATTAAAAGCAGTAGATTGAGATGGGCAGGCCACGTGGTGAGAAATCCGATAATGCGTTTGTTAACGAAGTATTTGAGGGTAGACCAGCAGGCCCCAGTAGATGAATAAAACAAATGGAAAATACCTGAGGAAGCTGAGAGATACCTGGGAGAAATCGAGGACCGGATAGACTAGATGCACATTGTTGCGGAGGCCAAAAACCTACTTCGGTTTGAATGACTTCAATGGTAAGATACATGTATTGTTGTCTCATAATTTTAATTGCATAGTACTGACGATCTGTGACTTGAAACAATCACAGAATTTTCTGGAAAAGCCATAAGGGTGAGGGGTGCAATAACATTTAATTTAACCTTGAATTTGCACATAGACCTCAGCCTGTGCGTGGAACATATCCAGCCTAGTAAGGGGTGAGCCGGTAGATAAGAGAGAAATGTACTGGTGGGCAACATGATTAAACCCATGACATGGATCTTCAGTCTGTCACAGTAACTTTTTGGTTGCTTTTTACTGGTCATGTAAAACAAGTTGTGATACAAGAACTTTCAATAATTTGAAATACAATGTAACTCACCTTGCCACTGATTACATTCTTCTTTAACTAACAACTTTTAAACATTTGTTAGCAGAATCTAATCCACAATGACATCGATTTTGGACTCAATTTGGATGCCATTTATTATTGGACTGACAATTGATCATGCTACCTAATAAAATGATCCTTAACTATATCAATCTACTATGACATAACAGTAACAGTTGTAACGTGTAAGTAATTCACTACATGTCAAGAATGTGCCCTTTGTTAACAATATAATTTCCTTAATGCCTTAGGAAGGTATATGATATGCTTTAATTACAGTGCAATAGGATATTTGCAAGCTCAGTAAAAGATTATTTTATTGAAATCTTGTGTTTCCAATTGTTTTATGACGCAAAAATAAATTAGCTAAAAACATTGAAACTACTTGCACTTTCTGGTTAGGTTTTGTTATGATCAATAAAAACAGTCAAACAAAGTGTAGATTACTTACTCTTTAGTCGAAAAAAGTAGCTGTTGAAAAATGTATGAGTTGTAATGGATTGTTGCAAGTAATTCAATTCTAAAATAATTATAACAAAAAAGCAACGAAGGTTATTAGAAGGAAAATTTGAATTTTAAGTGAGATACTACAATCTTAAGATACAAATGTTTAAAAGATATATTTACATATAAGAAAAATCATATATTTAATATATTGTACAACTTAAATATCCAAAAGAAGATTGATTTAAAAAAAAAATCATAAAATAACTATGTTTAATTTTTGTAACCTTTCTTCAAGGAGAACATAGATGTAACCTCAAGTATTATAGGTGCGTGATGGTAAACAGAACGTCCACAGTTTTGGGCGTATCCAAAACAGATTTACGAGACGGAGATAAGTTTTGGTCCAACTCTAATGCTACGTTTAGTCCTATACTTTACGTCATTTATCTTCGTTCCTTGATTAAAGCTTCAAACTGATACTTTTTGCAGACAGAGCTTCGCAAATGAAAACGTTACAAATAGGTAAAACATTACTTAACCAAACAATATTACAAGTCGGTCTACAGTAGTTAGTTTGCGACCATGTATGACGTTTTAATAATTTCAGGTCACATGACGATTAATTTTTTTGGATTTGTCTTTTACAGAGGCGTCTCAGAATGTTTTCTGAAATTGAACGTTGAATCTAATCATCAAATCAAAAGTATTATATTCTCCGTATTTGTATTCAAAAGTATGATCATTTTTGGCATTACGAAAAATGAAATCTGAGGACTATCGGAAAATAAATTCCTAGATAACTATTATTTTACTTTCTTCACTGAGTCAAATTACACGAAATGTCTTATTATAGTAAAAAATATTAAATTTCTAAATATTTTTCGAAGGTTATTTGTGAATCCATCATTGTCAAGCTAAAATTGTCTAAGATTAGTCTGAAGAAAGCTTAGAAAATGAACCAATATAAGCTTACAGGTCTACGATTGTTTTAAGAGGTGTTTATTATAAATTAATTGTAATATTACATGATCCTGGAACCATACAAATAAATTATGATTGTATTGAAGTGTCGGGTTATTTTATTCAATGCGAGGTCCTATCTTAAAAAAAACCATCGATACGGATGCAGTCAAGAGTCATTCAGTAAAAAGTAAAAGTCACTCTCCTGAAGCAGGTTTTTAGTTATTGTTGAATTAATAAAGGCATTAAAGAGGTGTAAAAAGCAAATATTTTAAATTCATTTTAAACTTATTTCCCACCAACTGATAGTACGAATATAATATATGTTTGCACCTTTGTCCGTCTTCAGCCTTAAGAACAGTAGTCTGGGTTCGGGGTCTGGGAATTTCGTTCCATAAGACCAACTCTCAAATGTTTTTCAATGTGAACTTTATGTGTAGTTGTGTCTTTATTATATTGATGAAGACTTTTATTGGTTTTCATGGACTAACTTGAAGTTGGGTTTAAGAATAGGTCTTATGACCTGAAACTAGTAATCCCCGGGAAGGTATGCAACCTATTACATATTTAAAATCGTCTAATTTCCCTCTTCCTGTAGGTGTTGAGTGTGTTGGGCCCTGTTTTCGACGACCAAGACGACACCCTCACCTCTGGACGACGAAGTGGACTCAAGGACTTCCTCACTGACTGTGTCTACCCTCCTCTGCAGCGCCCCACCGACCTCCTCTGGTGGCAGAAGGTGGTCTGGTCCTCGGTGTTTGCAATCATGCTTCTGGTCGCCACTGGAGGCAACTCTATCGTTATGTGGATCGTCCTAGGTAAGTACTAGTCGTAAATACTAATTATTTGTATAGTCATAGTGTTCACCTTCAAATCTGAAGGTCGCTGGTTCGATTCCAAGCGAGATAGTTTTCAGACCTAGATGCCATTTGGGCAATGAATAATAATGATATACTACAAAAAGATTGACGATAGATATAAACAAGACCAGCGATTGGATCGTTCTCTTTTAAACATAGAAATGCCATTGACGTAGAAAACGCACAAAGTAAAATAAAATAAATTCTTCTTTATTAGAAGCTGGATTTTTGGTGATTATGAGTTTATTATTAAAGGGTTATTGGGGACAGTTTCCATAAAACATGTTTTTCGATTGTAGTCTAAGGATTGCATCGAATATTGAAATATGTATAAAAAAAACTGCTTCTGTTAGTTCACTGGTCGCGCTATGCTGGTGCATGGCAACGCTGGTGGCGCTGCCTACAAATTGACAGGCAAAGCTCTCTCAAAACACTTTTTATGTGTAAAAAATGCTTTTTACCATGCGGTTGGCATTCTGGGTTATAGTAGTATGTTTTCTGTGGCCATGCGGAACCGAAAATTCGGGATGCGGAAACGCACGTTAGTGGAACCGCACACATGGGAACTCCATTAAACCAATTGTCGTTGTAATTCCGCAGCGGAAAAATCGCACCGCACGGCGGAGATTCCGCATCCTGTGGAACCATAGCTTAACACCACGGACATTAAATGATTAAATTACAGAAAATAAGGTGTTGGGAAATGAGGACACGACTGAATGCATCTCGAGTAAAGACTGGAAGAAAAGGTTTTGACAAAATTTCGGTGTTTGGAATCTGACCATTTCCTCTGGCAAGAAAGTACTTAAAAAATAACAAGATTAGTCCACAAATCCAGCCAGAGCTGAAACACTGAAACACTAAGAACTGTATAGTATTAAAAAAAAGAAACAAACATATCTCAATGGTTGGGTAATTAAAAATCTATTCTTTATATAATTCAGTTTTAAAAATCTTTGTACAACTAAATCTAGAGTTCTACTGGACCAATTTTATTAATTAATGGGTCGTTGGAAAGCTTAAGTCGTGTAGATTTGCAAATAATTATGAAAGTTTGTTTTTGTCATTATTTATGGTGAAAAATTAAAAAAAAACATGTTTTCCATAAGAAATACATTGAAAACGGTGTTTTTCACACTTTTTACTTGGGTGCGACTTTTGGCTGCCTTTTTTGAGTATTTCCAAGAAGTGCATGGTATCAATTTGTAGGAAATTTTATTCTCTTTCCACTTTGGCCGATTTCCTCACCATTTAAAAGTTATTTGCAAAAAAGCTAAGCAACCTCCGAATTTATGGTAATGAAAAAATATTGAGTTTGGGATATTTTTTGTCAAACTTTTTACAACTAAATCTAGACTTCTACTGGATCGATTTTGTTAATTAATGGGTCATTGGAAAGCCTAGCTCAAGTAGATTTGCAAATAATTATAATATTGTGATTTTATTAAATATTTGTGGTAAAAAAGTAAAAATAACAAAAACACATTAAAAACTGCTTTTTTATGTTTATGTTTTTATGATTGTATTTGTAGCCAACTTTTGGCTGCCTTTATTAAGTATTTTCAAGAAATGCATAGTAGTTATTTGTAGTACATTTTATTCTCTTTCATAATATCACATCCACTTTGGTCGATTTTGCCTTAATTTAAAAGTTATTGGCAATAAGCTAAGTGATCTCCAAATTTATGGTGGCGAGAAAATACTGAATTAGATATATTTTTGTTAAACTTTGTACAACTAAATCTAGACTTCTACTGGACCGATTTTGTTACTTAATGGGTCGTTGGAAAGCCTAATTTGTGTAGATTTGCAAATAATTATGAAAGTTTGATTTTATTAGATATTTGAGGTGAACAAATAAAAATAAACAATAATACATTTAAAACTAATTTTTTTCCAAGTTAATAATTCCAATCTTAAATTTGTCACCAACTTTAGGCTGCCTTTATTGAGTATTTTCAATAAATTCTACAAATAATAGTAATTTGTAGGAATTTTTATTCTCCTTCAGAATATCACTTTCTACAATTAAATCTACAGTTCTACTGAACCGATTTTATTAATAAATAGGTCATTGGAAAGCATAATTTGTGTATATTTGCAAATAATTATAAAAATTTGATATTTTTAAATATTTACTAGGTGAAACCTGTCAAAGTCGACAGTTATTGTTGAGGCTGCAAGCAAGATCGTTTAACTATAAATCGATGATAAATAACTCAATTTTTCGAACAAATTGTGTTGTTCGTGATTTAGCTGTGTGCTTTAGGTACGTCCGATCTTAACAATCAATAAATCAAATGGAAGCTGGTTTTTCACTGATTGTTCTTAGGTCAAAACAAATAGAATAACGTAATTAGAATAATTATAAGTAAATAGATCTAAAACTAAATTCCATATCCAAGATAAAATCAAATTTATATTTTCTGATTGAGCGGTAGAGTATCTTGAACTTTACTGATTAAAACTATCAATATCTCAAGTGAAAAAGTATTTTAAGACCAAGACATATGAAATAACTTAAATAAAAATAGAGTTACTTATCATTGATTGCAGATAAGTAGCCTACTAAAACGATTGTAACTATTCTTGATTCGTGATTCAGCAGTGTGCTTTAGGTAGTCCGATCTTAACAATCAATAGTTCAAATGAAAGCTGGTATTTCACTTAAGGTTTTTAGACTAAAACATATTGGGTAATGTAATTAGAACTGCTGGAATACATCTTTAATTGAAGTGAAAAAAAATTAAAATCTGTTAAATAGTTTTTTATTATAGTGTGTTATAGTGGGCTGAATGCAGATTTAGTAGGCATTGGAACAATGATTTGGTGTAATTTAATATTAACATTGATCAGCTGGATGATTGGTTTAAAAATAAATGTAATGAAAAGAACATGAGTTTTATTAGCAAAATAATTTAAACTATTAATTTTGAACAAAATCTTTCGTCCAGTAATATATTAGATAAAAATAATGATGATGCTTGATGTCACATATACTTTGCATAGCTTTATTTTAAAACCAAAATTATAAAAATCGGGCGGGTAGAAGAGCCGAACGATGAACAAAATTTAACTCTCATAAGAAATGTACAGGGAGGCAGTTTGTGCATAACTCGAAATATACGTCAAAATGAATGCCGATACTTGATGGCAAATCTGTGGTCCCGTCCAAAGTTTAAGGCCAAAATTATAAAAATCGGTCTCGAGTAGAAGAACTAACCTGACTCGGAAAAGAAAAACCAATAATTTTTATAGATGGCAATAATTGGTTTACCAGTATGCATAATCTAATCATACGAAACATGTGTTAATAATTCAACAGCTTATTGTTATATTGTTATCTAATAGATTTTTCTTTGATTAAATATGTTGTTGTTAACAATTTGCATTTGTGTTTAAAGCGTGTTCCTTATGTTAAGTATGCGATTCTAATGTTATGTGCTTAATCTGTACCATTAATATAAGTGAGTAAAGTGGTGTATGGATTTCATAATCAATAAACTAGAGACCGTTGTATTTAACCACAACGGGCACTGTTGCTAGTGGTAATATAATTAGGGTTCGTTGAATATTTCTGGTAACTCAAAGATAAAATACTTCCAATTTCAAACGTAAACTAGTTTGTTTATATTAATCTTTGCTGATGATCCCTGAACTCCACTTCGCGGTTGCTTCATCCCTAACTTGGCATAAGGGATGTTTTTCCACGCAGACTTTATGTCAAATGTTTATAAGGTAACAATATTTTGAGAAGTAGAAACAATATAATAAGCTTTATAATTCATAGATGTTAAACAAAACTATAACTAATCATTACATTGTACATTAGAAAAAATGTGTTTTAGAAAAAATAGGGGGGTTTAAATCTACGATTGTGCAGTATTAGGTTGTAGGAAAAATCAAGAATGCATTGGAGTTTTAATTTTTGTAAGTTAATTTGTTCTTTGAACTTTTACTGTATAAAACAATTGTACACAGATTGCGCATGTAAAACACTGGCAATGGTTCTTTTGTAGGTTGCTGTAACAATATGTAAACACGATGAATGGGTTTCGGGGTTTTCCTGTGTGGATTGAAACAATATATCTAGTTTAGTTCGCTCTCAACGATCTCAATATCAATGATCCAACCAAATATAATACGTCTATACACATTTTCATGTTTGATTTTTTATATTAATTTGTTTGAAGCTGTTAAGTTATTTATCCTATTCATTTGTGTATACTACAGGTCGTCCAGTGGTCGAAATCTCGAACGAAAATGAAATGTAATGTACAGCCTTCTATAATTTCACCCCACGTTGAAAATAAAACATTAAATTGGTATATCTTCTATTTGCTTAGATTCTTTTTTTACATTTCTTCACCAGCATTGCAACCCATAAGGCCCATGTTAATTTATAAAAATTTTGAATTCATTTTTATGCTTATTTTGTAAGCCTATTTTAATTTCTAAAAGGATTCTGCACATCTACAGACTATGTATTTCTAACAGCATGCGTATGTTTTCCCTGCGATTCACACGAGCTGATAAAAAATGTTTTAAAGAAATCGCTTGCTTATAAATATACAGTAGATTAAACCATAAGGCAACACATGTGAATAAATGATTTAATATAAAGAAAATATCATAGACCAAACGAAAAACGTTAATAGCGTGAAGGTGTATGGTATCTTAGAGACATATAACATTTACTCGAAGCTACATAGCCAGTGAGTACCAAGTTGTTAACACCAGGATGTTTGTGGGCGAACGATGTAATGGAGGAAGTCTGTAGGCGATCCGAGCCGGAATCCGAGTCTATAATTTTCGATGGCTTGGAATAAGACTAACTGAAGCAGCTTTTAGTTTCAACGAATTAACTGGGTCTAAACGAAATGGGATTCAAATTACTCAGTGAATGTGAAGATTTTAGAACTATTCTTAAATAAACCAGTAAACATTTCACATTCATGAAAACAAACTAGTATTTAGGAGGAATAAATTTAACGTTTTATAGTGGTTGAACGTTTTACTGATGTAGTATATTAAGTCAATTCTAAAGGGTTGATTAAATGATTTCGGTTAGTCAAGTGAATTATATTAAATTGATTTTACGATCCTCAAGGGGTTGTTGTGAATCTAAATTATCTTAGTATCTATTATTCTGTAATTTACAAATAATAATTTGATTTACTTAAGAAGTTTTAGTATTCTAGTTTGGTAGTTAGAAGAGACGAAACGGAATGCATACATTTGATATTTATTACTTGAAAAAATTTTAATGAAGAAATTGACATTGTCAGATGTTTGGTGTTATTAAAAATTACTTTTTTTAAGGATCTGTGGTCACTTTTAATAATGCATTTCGCTATATCTTCCTCAAAGGTCCGTGGACCATTTCAAGCAGGTCAATGGGTGAGCCAGGATAGTACAAGGAATTAACTTAAGAGATCAATTTAAAGCGGTGACAACAGGACTTGAATCCACGTTATTTCTGCCTTAGTTATCTAAGTCTGCTGTGCCACTTACTGAGTTCTGGACTCTCATAAAGACAATTTGTAAGTTCGTGAGAAACACTAATATAATTAATAATTATATATAGTATATACTTCATGTGTAATTCCGTTTTTTTTAGCTCATCGACGCATGCGGACTGTCACTAACTACTTCCTGGTCAACCTGAGCGTGTCGGATCTGATGATGGCTCTTCTCAACTGCATCTTCAACTTCATCTTCATGCTGAACTCTCACTGGCCTTTCGGATCTTTCTACTGCACCGTCAACAACTTCGTTGCCAACGTCACGGTAGCAGCCTCTGTCTTTACGTTGGTGGCCATCTCTATAGACAGGTAGGCCCTACAGATTATTTTGTTTACCATCGATGTTTATGAGAACGAGATTTAATTTGATTATTAGAGAAATCTCACAAAAGATTCAGAGCTGTATTGCTCTGAGGATGTGTACAGTAATATTAAATTCAATTCTGTATGGAAATCCGTATTACAAGGTTTTATAAATCTTTGGTAGAGAGTTCCCAAGACAAAAAACGTTCTTCGGGTGGCAGCTGCTCGCTTCTTGAGATACTTGGGTTATCATACACGAAACAAGGTAGACGATATAAATATAATTTTAATTTATTGGCTGTAAAAAATGCAAAAAATATAAATAATTTCTATACAAATGATAGAATACTTTACTGTCCTTGCAAACCTGATTTGTTATATCACTAAAACCGTTTCGGAGATTTTTAATCGTCGGTTGCGTAGTCATACACTAAACTCAATGACTGTATTTATTTTTTTTACGAAAATTCTTCATCTTCATTGCGTCAACGGTTAATACATATACATCACAAGACACGACACGAAAACATTAAAGCACGTGCACAGCTAAAAAACTGACGACCTTACGATCAACTGCTTGATTAAACAAGGAATCTTAAATTGAATGAGAAGTAGCTTACCTAAACCAAACTCTGAAATGATAGCTTGATAAATAATAAATAATCTCAAATATAATTAAAACATAGTATCTTCGAGTAAAATGGAACACATAAGAATATTTTGAAGTGATTCAAAATAGACATGGGAACATAAAACAGAATAGCATCAGAGTATTTGTATCTCCTGGTTACAATCCAAGATGTTGTAGCCACTTTCTGATGGTAACATTAATTCTGTAGAGACTTTTAACTTTGTTTTGAGAACTCGAGCTAGGAACGTCACGTCCGAGCGGAAGTGAACAGTGACGTGTTTGCTGTCCGTGTTTTGTATTGGCTTGTTACTTCCTGTCCGTTGAACTTCTGACAGAGCAAGTAAACACTAGCTAGAGGCATTTTAAGATTGTCTTCAACATTTCCTATTGTACAGGACTTGTTGGATAAAGTTTTCTGGTTTTAGGGCAACAATAGGGTTTTTATTAGGTACAGGTTTATTTAAAATTATTCGTGATTTGTTTTCAACTTCCTTCAATAGTCGGTTGAAAAAATAATTTACAAAGACAGATACAATGTAGGTGTATTAAGGAAATCATGGTAAGCCTTATTGCTTAAATCTATTCCCTGCATTTTCCAACGCTAAACAATAGCACACCAATGAAGTCGGTTTCAAATAAATAGTTCCAAATAATAAGTCTAATATCTCGGAGTTGTTTATAAACCAACTGTCTGAAATGTTGGAGGCTGCCCGAAATAAAAGAAACAATTTACTTATCAAAATAAATATTTTGTTTAATTAGTCTAAAAAAATCTTTGTTTCTCAAAAATAAACAATATTGTCATGATATGGGAACACAGAGGTTAAAATTTTGAATTTGAAACACTTTAAATATTTTATCATAAAAGTATATTTTTTAATACAGAAAATAATCTGAACAGAAAAAATTATATTCAGTCTCATCTTCATTCCACTTTTTAATTTATCTCTTTGATGTAAAATCTTACAAATATCAGTTTATTTTTTTAAAGTAAAAATAAATACAACAGTTAAGTAATATGATGTACCTAACAAAGTTATAAACCTTGAAATGGTTTCTTTCGAAGTGGATACGTTTCTTGTTTCCTGGGCCATTGGGTTCTTAGCGCTAGTAATTCCCTCCGTTGTATTCTAGGATAGTTTTCCAAATGACCTTAACTTTACGGTATAAAACATCAAAAGGAAGTTCGATGTGCTTTTTACAAAAACTGTAAAAGGCTTACTTACGTCTCTAAACTTCCTAGTTATCAAGTTCAGTAAAATTTTACATTATTTTTTTCTTTTGTGGACAATATTTTTATAATGACTTACGCATTTTGGGCAGAAAGGGCGTTTAAAATACAGCTTATTTATTTACTAAGAATTCTTTAAAATTATTAAAAAGTCAGAAAACTTGAAATATAAGTGAGGATTGTTTGTTAAATGTTGATTGAGTAATATACAACTCTACACAAGTTAATTATGATTTTTCAAGTAGTTTTATAAATACAGCAAATGTGTTTAGCCCTCTATCTAAAAATGGAAACGGATGTGTTATTAAGAAGCTGCACGCTTAAAATTTGGAGGAATTTAAAACCTTAATAATTCTTGTTGTGTGTTGCACGATATAAATAATTGCACAATTCGTTTACCACTATATATGAATCATTAGTAAGCTCGAAACCTTATAAAACCCCTTGGTAAAAAGGGTTTTCAATATACTTTACACAATTTGCTAGTAAGTGAAAGTTTCTGTGACCGAGGGAGATATATTCAATGTAGTCCATCCCGCTTGTCCCTGGTATCCTCTGGGGACGAGATATGAGGAAGGTCTACCCTTGCCTTCCTTTCCCTCTTGGTTGATTTAACACTCAACAAAATACGATAGAGATAAGAAAATAACTGTATTTCATATTCAGACCATAGGTGTTTAAAATATGTATAGCATATTCGACAAACTCCTGAACGCTCAAAATCACGTTTAACTAAACTATAATCATTATAAAATTAATTTTCAATCTATAATTTATCTCTTATGTGATTTAATTCAAATTAAAAGATATAATCTTATTTTAAAAATCACTAACTGTAAGACCCATTTGAACAACATTTAAAATGAGATAACTGATCACATATTTTATTTTCCTCGTCTGTATTTTGTATTTTTGTTTAAGCAGTGCTTAGTGTTCATTTACAATTCTAAAAAAAATAATGGATTAGTTTTAAGACCAATAATGGGTAGCCTATTTTTTAAATATAAAACTGTAACTGCATTTGATAACATATGTGGAAATAAATTACGTTGTATCTTGAATCTTGAAATTATACTGAAATGATATATTTGGAGTTTTAGATATAATTACTCAGATATACATTTCATTAATGTTGTACCACTATAATGTATAGAAGCTAATAAAATATTAAAACTATTATTTCCTTGGCCAATCACAAACAAAATGGTCAGTTAGTCAAACCCGTAATTCCTGAGTTAACTTTGGCGTTCACAAGGCTGAGGTCCAATTGATTACTCAAAGCTTTGTTGGAATCTATAAATAATTCAGGGCTTTCCAATCCAAATAATGAAAAGTCAAACCTCATTAGCTTAACGACATATTGTTTAGTGTACATACCGATGGTTTAGGGTAGGTGAACGTTGTTTTCCTGTCAGCGTGTATTGAAGATTATTAAATAACTTTAGTCGTCTTGTCAAACGGTAAAGTTGGACAATCTTGTTACATTGTTTCTGCATAGCAAAGCCATCTTGAATCGAAATTACTAATCGAGTCAAAGCGTCTTTCAAGTTTATTTAAGTAAGTTTATATAGCATATATTTACTCAATTTATGTATGAGAAAACTATACTATTTATCAGTTGTCAACATGGTAAAATGTACCTATTTTAAATAAAGGTTGGGAATATTTTACAACTTGATGTCAGGATCGTAAGTGCTATACCGAAATGTTAAATAATATTTTAACTTGACTATGGATTATATTCCACTTTGACATTATCAAAATTGGCAACGCCGCAGCCCCGGCCTATCGAATCAGCTGCTTCACTAACAGCTCATAGTGGAGCGTCTGCTCAATTTTTAAGTTTACACGTTTGCTATTACCGTTATCACCATGGCAGGCCGTGCGACGTTGCCACTCACCAACGCCTCAGAGAAGGCTAGGTACTGTGGTATTTAATAGCATTGTGTATCAGTTTTAGCCAATGTTTTACCAAACAATAATACAATTAATTGTTTAAGCCACTCAAAGTGTGTGCTGTGGTCCAAAAGTTGGTATTTGGTCAGAAATCAGTAATTTATATCTACGTACTCTGTCGGCTTGATTTTAACATTAGGAATGGAATGTCTAGCTATTCATGGCCTACTTACTTAATTCCTGTCGTTCCAATTGCAACAGAGGGCATCCACGAGACGTATCTAGTCCTGTGTTTCTCCGGCATACCTATCTAAAAGTCTTTCCCTAGCTATTCATAGCCAAAGCTAATCGTCCTTGGTAATATATAGTGGTTTTAATACTCCGATTATACACCCCTAGATACATGGCCATAGTACGTCCTCTCCAGCACAGAATGTCCAGGTGTACAGCAAGGGCTGCAATAGCAGTGATATGGATAGCCAGCGCACTCTTGGCGTTCCCTTGCCTCCTCTACTCCAGTACCATGGTCAAGAGGTAAGTTTGTATCTAAAATTATAATTAAATTGATAGGTTGAACTTCGGGAGACGACCGCGTTGTTCAACTAACAACAAACGTCCAACTAAAACAACCGTTCGAATGTATTGCCATATTTGGGTACAATTCAACTGGACTTTTTGGATGCGTTATAGCAAACTATCCTCGGTGTAAGGTAAACTTCTTCAGCTGGATCGCGCAATACTGTTAACTGTTTCGAATATAATTGATTGCTGCAATGCTTCGAAAAAGTTCACTAGTAATAATTTCCGAGGTCGTCTCGCAAAAACTATGATTCGAAATTTTACATAGACTGTGGAAGCCTATCTTCTATTTTTAAAAACCTAATAGTTTTATTCTGTCAAAATTTTGATCTCTGCTTAAAAGAGGGTTATTCTAAAAAACATACAAACATATTTATGTTTCAGATATCTTTTAAAACATATGTTACATATATAAAGCTAGTGATCAATCCCAATTTGGTTATTCTAGATTTGAGAAACACAATAGCGCTATCCGAAGCCAATAGTTATGTGCTTCAGGTGTTCACTATCTAGGATCTTATGTTAAACAGGCCATATCTTCTTTGTACCGGAGATGGAGCTTATCTTTACCTTCGACTGGTCTATAACAATAGACAACACTATGCTCTTGGCTTTACTAGAAATAAACTTCACCATTTATTACCCATGTAAGATAATACAAATAATACATAATATCTCACTGTGTATATGTAAAGACTATGTTTATAGTCGACTTTGATATTAACAACAACGTGCTTTAGAGTGCTCTTTCCTAAATGAAATGAAAATAATTGATTTAAACAGGCAGGGCCAAATGCTCCAGTCCGCAAATAGCATTTATACAATCCGTTTAGTGCAATCTCTTACGAAATGACACTGGCGTCAAATGAAAAATAACGCATATAAAATGTAAAATAATGTGTATAAAAATAAAATGAAATTGATAAGGGTTAAGGATAAAATTATCCTTGTAACATTAAAGACTGCTTTGTTAATCCTTCTACCAACATTAATTGGTTTCAAATTATTTTAGAGAATTTCAATCTATTTTGGTGGACCTATTGCAACACACAGTACAGGCTTTGTTGAAATACAACAAAAATCAGGTAGCAATTTAAATGCCAAACTTACTACCTGGAAAATTAACTTGAAGATGTAGAAAGAAAACAGTAAGAGCGGATTCAATTTCTACATATGTTTCCTACAATTTGTCAAAATTTATTACATTATCTTACTTGTCTTGTATGCTAGTAGTATAAGATTGTATAATGGATTATATGGTTCCTCAATACAATATCTCAATGCATCAATACATCAATACAATGGTTCCTCAATATCTCAATACATTTGAAGTTTCCTCAATACAATATCTCTCAAGTAAAAAAATAAAAACAATTAAATAGTCCATAACGATGCTATAATTTTAACAGACTAAAATAATTAACCATTCACACCTTATATATACCTCATATTGTTGTTGTTGTTGTTGTTGTTGTTGTTGTGTGGTTGTTGTTGTGTGGTTGTTGTTGTTATTGTTGTGTTTGTTGCTTCATATTGTTTACCTTGTTATTCATTTACAGATACAGGAACGGCCAGACAAGGACTGTCTGCTATATGATGTGGCCTGATGGAAGATACCCGTTTTCTATGGCTGAATATGTGTAAGTTGTAGGCATAGAGATATGTTATTTTTTTACTGAAATTCATGTGTTAAATTAAATGTTATCTAATTTCTTGTCTATTATTAAATTCCACAGGGGAGTTTTGACACACTTAAAACTACTAACTAACAAACTAACTACTAACTAACTTTAATAAGATGAACAAGACTTACGAGAAACCCTGGCTTTTAATGAGAAGAAATTTAACCCCTATACTGTGGTGATAGGGGGAGAGGGAGAGTGGGACTTTTAACACATGGGAGGTAGGGAAAACTCAACCCGCATTGAAATAAATTAAAACATTTGATTAGAGAGTTGTGATGGTAACCAACCGGTTTTATTACTATTTATTATGGATGTACTAAAGTCGTATAACACTAAAGGTTTCATTTTAAATATTAAGATTGTTTAATAATAATAGCTATGTGTTTATTAAGAGCGCAACGCCAGTTCTCGTAAAACACATTTTTTTCCTATCACCATAATTAACTTATAATAAGACACAAATTAACTTTTTAGATGTGTGTAAAATATAATTAAGGATGTACGGTTACGCCCTGATTCTGACAATGATAGTTTTTTCCCACGCAAAACGTTGGAAACCCCTGGAAAAGCGGAAAAAACGAGATATTCGCGGAAATATGTCATAAGGGTACTCAAATTAACCGGTAAAGCGAGCCAAACAAGAATACGAAGAATGTGCATCAAGAAGATCCGATAAATATTAACGGAGATACGGCTGTAAAAGCTTTGGTTAGGTTGGGTTGTTACGTTAGGTTAGATTAGGTTGGCTTAGGTTAGGTTAGGTTAAGTTATCCATAACATTGGTATTGTTAGTAACCTAACCATAAGTAACCAAACCCAACATAACCCAACCGAACCCAACCTAACCCAACCGAACCCAACCTAACCCAGCCGAACCCAACCTAACCCAACCGAACCCAACCTAACCCAACCCAACCAAATTTAACCTATCCTAACCCAACGTAACTTATAACAACCGCTTTTCCGGTCGTAACTTAGTTTTTTTTCGTATTCCGACGCTTTTCCAGCCATATCTCAGTTGACATCTTTCGGACCTTAAAACTTCTTGCATATTCTTGTTCAACTCGTTTTACCATTTGATTTGAGTAGCCACATGACCATTTTCGGCGTAAATATATTTTTTAACAACATTTCCGTGGCTTTCCGACGTTTTGCGCGGAAAAACAATCATTTTCAGAATCAGGACGTTATTTCTTATATTTTTAAAAAAGAAAATTTCTTTTTCCAAGGGTGCACTAAGAAGGTAAGAATTACCAAAAATCCACCCGTGACAGCTATCAAAATATGTTTCCACAGGTACAACCTGGTGTTCCTGAGTCTCACATACCTAGTTCCTGTGGTAGCGATGGCCGTGTGCTACACCCTCATGGGCAGAGAGCTCTGGGGGAGCAAGTCCATCGGCGAGCAAACCCAGAGGCAGCTAGATGCCATCAAGTCCAAAAGAAAGGTTGGCTATTGCTTTAGGTATCTCCTTCGAAAAATAAACTTTTCGTTAAATATGTCAAATGGATCCTTATAAACATTTTGTCAACCATTTTTTTACAACACCGGATGAAACAGGGCACTAACCATTGGGTCCACTGTTTGTTGCAAAAATATAAAGGTCAATAAATATTTTTATAAGCATAATTTCCTTGAATATCCATAAGCCTGGTAGCCAACGGGCACAGTTATAGTCTGTTTGATGGAACATGTCTCCTGTCTACCTGGAGCTGTTCCGGATCTTAAACCTACTTCATGCAAATTATAGCAATTTGATAGTTGGATAGTCAGTTTCGTAAATTATTGAATCATAAGCTTACAACTTTATATACAGTAATTGCGTTTGTTAACATACGAATGTAATTAGTATCCACAGGAGTAGTGCAATATGTAAAACTTACACTGATAATTTTGCGATCGGAATTAAATAAATATGTGTAATATTGAAAAATATTGAGCGTAATGCTATATCATTATACTTTATTTAATTTTAAAATGTTTTATTTTCGATGTATTTATTCTGGTGCTTTTAACGTTAGTAATCAACTTTCGTTGTATTAGAGAAAAAACTATCCTTAATTTTCATCATGATGGAAATATCCGCAACAATCCCTCAAATAAGATAAACTCACTAATTTTTACAAAACATGAACTTGAAATGAAGTAAATAAAAACACAGTTTACCTCAATATTACCAATAAATATCATCGTATATCCTTATGAAAATAACATTTCCTTCAAATATATATTGAGCCCATCACCCTCATGTCTCTCTTATCAAGGAACGTTTGATATTTATGAATAAGTTTCCTCCTGCAAAATTGAATTTAAAGATGAAAGACCCAAAAGTCTTATCACTTCAAGGATTATAAGTCTCACAGAAGTGCCTGAATATGCAGAGTCAGCCTTGCTCTCTACAAGAAATTCTTGACAAAAGAAGCATTTGAGTTGAATACTTTTCTGTTTCCGATCCTTGAATACCAAGCAGTATGGAAACTGATAACGAAAACATGACTGTCGAAAACAGCACATTCAGTTGTGGCGTGCAGAATTTGTAAAACATCACTTGTTTACTTGAAAACCCACAATTCTGAACCAATTTTCTACTTACACCAGATGGGTTTTAAGTTCGTATTCGTGTTTGTGATGTTTGTTTAGTCTACATTTCTTTATATAATATAGTTTAACACTTTTCGCCCATATATAATGTTTTAACGTTGAAGTTTGGTACGAAATTGTTTTTCTAAATAGTTTTAATTTTATTTAGACCTATTTCACGATGTTTACAATATAACTATATATGGGACGTGTTTAATCCATCTTAATAAATGGCCTTTTTACCAAACAATTGTTATTAGTTAATAAAACAATGGACGAATTTACTTACAAGATAGAAAATATCAACGTATTTGACCATAAATAAAGCCGTTGAACATAAGAGCAAACATAAGAGTTTATCTTGATTGAGTGTTATGAATTGTTTTACTTTGTTTATATATTTTCTGCATGTTTGTATGAAGTACATTACTATGACATATACATTACCTCAATCTAAGGCATATATTTCCATGTACTGTAGTTTCTTCATCATAATGAATGAACTTTGTCGAAATTTATTTTTTTTAGCTTCGTATTTGTAATGTTGTGACCCATTAGTTATTTGCTTTTTGTTGACGTTAAGTTTAAAATATTGTATTTTACCGTATAAAACCAACCACCTATAACAATGACTTATCTTTTTGTTTCAATGCCAAACAGAAAAGCAACACTTGTAAAATCTACACAATGATAAGAAGAGAAATATTTAGGCAACATCGGTGCACTATAAAAGTTACCAACGAGAAGTACACATAAACAGTCTGCAGTAAAAATATTCAGGGGATCTTAAGTCTACACACTTTTACTCTGTCTATAACTCTTCATAACTTTAATTTCTTCAATTTTTCTCTCTCAGGTAGTAAGGATGTTCATAATCGTAGTGACCATCTTCGCCCTGTGCTGGCTGCCCTACCACGGCTACTTCATCTACGCCTATCACAATAACTCCGTGGCGGCCAGCAAGTATGTACAGCACATCTACTTGTTCTTCTACTGGCTGGCTATGAGTAACGCCATGGTCAACCCTCTCATCTACTACTGGATGAACAACAGGTAAGAAATCTCCACTAGGTGAGCAAGAGCTACTCTAGTGGTAGATTGGGGGCTTTGGTGTCGAGGTCCCGGGTCCAAATCCTGCCAGTCACCAATGGATTTTATCCGTGTGATGATGCCGCAACCCACTAGGACTAGCCTGAAGTAATGTGCAAAACGGTGCTTGGGTAGAACTAGCGTCCTAGGATGTGAAGGTGAAACATAAAAAAAAGAAATAACGTATATCCAAAGGCATTGATTGAATTTAATTCACAATTTCTTGTTATAATCGATGAATGTAAAAGTTAAACAATAGTATATCTTATAAACAGAGTCTTAATTTACTCTTTTTTACTAAATGTTTAACAACTGAGACGATACCATACTTTTCATACATGGTTTACTTTTATACGTTAGCTTTAAAGATGGTTTCATTATTGTTTGCTGAATACAAACAGCTGTTACCATTACTATTTGAATGCAGCTTGTATTACTCCATCAACTCAATAATAATATACTTCTGTAGTTACTGAAATGTGTTTAATTAAATCGGTCCAAAATCTACGAAGGGATACATGGTAGTTAAATTTGAATGTGACATTATAATAAACCAAATTTTCTTATAGTGCCACAACTCTTGTATTGAAAACAATAACTTTTCGAAGAAGTGTTTTGTTACTTAAAGTAAAATTCTAGCACAAGATTAAACTTGGCACTTAGTCATCGATCGCAAATATCTCAGAAGTTTGAGAAGTGAATTCCAGACAATGACTTCCAGTTCCATTATGTCATGGCCTTCAGCAGTTTTAAAGTTTATGCTTCTGTTAAATATTTAATGTAGTCTACATCAATTCCTAGCTTGAGTAGAAGATGGGTAAATTATATCCAGGAGAAATCAAATAAACAATCCCAGATAAAAAATAACTGAAATAAGATGGAACTAATGTTGTAATAATGTTTATAATAATCGAGGGATTTTACTCTTGTAATCAAAGGAAAACAATCTGTATCTTTAAAAGCTCCTAGATCTCGGTTTGAACTTATACATAATGAATGCACGTAGCCTAAGCAGATTACATCAACCCACTCGCCTCTCTTATGTATTATAAATTTTACTATAATATATTACTATTATAATTTAGGTACTGTAATATTCCTTTCGTACCTGTAATTATCTAATACAGTAAACAACAATAAACATTTTTATTTAAAATAACTGTTTTTTGTGTTTACGCCAATGACAATTCACGCAGGAGCCTATTAAACGCTTCATTCGTAAAAAAATAATATTGCAATTTTTAATAATCACAAACGTATTAAAATGTGGATAATATTGATAGGTACTGTACATATTTTACTTTTAAGTGGACCCTCTGTTAAGATCACGATCACTTGATTGCATAACATTAAAGTTTTTGCAGCGTTAAGAGTTAATTTATGCATTTTAATCTTTAGGTTTTTCAGGTTTTACATCGTTTTTATGGTAATTGGATAAGCCAAGGGTACATCTTGGGGGGACCGAACCCGTCCCCTGGAATTAAAGCTACTGTGTAGCTGAGCTAAGCTACAATGTATACACTCAAACTTAACCGAAAATAAGAAAACAAAATAATATCAACAGAACTTACATTGTTGAACATTTCCAAAGTAAATAGTTCAATCATACAAAACACACTCAATTTATTTAAACAAAAAAATCATGTTATAACTGGATTTGTTTCTGTAATCTATGGTTCGGGTTAGATTTTGTACAGTATAGGCTATCTAATAAACCGCATTATCCTCATTCTATTGCAAAGCACGGTAGAACCAGTATACCAATTAAGGGTGTACCGATGTTTCTAGCTGTAGATATTGCTTTGGCAAAAATTTCAAAAAAAAAACAAACCAATAAATTAAGATGTGCGCATTTCAAACGAAATATAAATGATGAATCTGATGAAAATAAAGTGCGAAACGCACGGTGGCGCATGTACTGATTATTTCACTTCAACAGGAAAATTGAGTATATGGTCGTGAACAAATATTTTCAATAATAGTGAGCCAGATCCAGAGTATTTATCACAGTAATATTTATCGGTACAGTGCACTGATGTTGACTAAATTATATGAATATTTTGTTAACAAAAATAGTATTGATCTATGTAGGAGTTAAATATGCATTTCAAATGAACAGTTGCTTAACTACATTGTCAAATCAATATTTAACTTTATAGGCTATTCGAAATACATTTACAATTGAATTAACACAGTGCAATAAAGTTCTCATCCTGTTGATGAGTGAATGTGTTGGTGACATTTTAGTGTGTTGATTTTAACTAAAATGTTTAATGCTTATATTAGGTGATCATATAATTTGAGATTTGTACTCTAAATAACAAAAAATATATATATCACAAGATCGATTCACACATACAGTCGAGTCACAGTTCCGTTACAGTCCCGTCACAGTTGCATCCGCAATTAGTCAAACTGTCAGTCTGTTTCAGTTACTCTTCCCTAAATTTATTTACAGTAAAAAACGTTTCATTAAAACTCAATATTCTATCAAATTTTCATCGTCTGTCTTGTTGATTGTTACAAACATTACTTAAAATATAAACTTGATCATTTAAATCAAAAGTACTATTTTCTAAACTCAAACACGTCCGTCAGGCGTCCGAACAATCCAAAAATATCTTGGAAAAGAAATCTGAAATTGAATGACGGACGCCGGATGAGTGTAGATAGCGCATTAGAAAATTCATTGGAGAATATTTTTGTTAATTGCAACGTGCCTGAAGTGGCTGGCCTGTGACGTGCCGCAGCTGATGCGTGTGGATCGACCTTAATACAGCTGTTTGTTAAAGGCTGTTCGCAACTACAAACCATCAAAAGGTGACTTACATTGTACTTAAGTTTATCACTACCTTTTTTACAGGAATAAAACTAACCTTTTACCTGTATTCTATCTATGTTCTGGACAGGTTCCGTGTATACTTCCGCCAGATCATCTGCCAGTGCTTCTGCTTCAGGCCCAGTCTGAAGCACGAGCTGGAACTGCCCACAGTGAAGCACGGTTGCAGCCAGAGCGACGTCGTGGGTCGGTCAAGATCTGGTAAGGGTCGCTGGTAATTATCTGCTTCACTTGTATACTTGCTCGGTATACTCGTCGCATGCAAACGTTTAATACAATACCATGAGTTGAAGCTTGAATTTATCAGAATCTCTTGGTAAAATGGACAAAATAATCCTTATATATAAAACGCGAAGGCGATTTCTACGAAACACTACTCCTCCGTTAATAATGGACGGATTTTTACAAACGACGTGTCAAAATAAAGTATTTTTTTGTGTAGACGCCCCCTTTCACCAATTCCTGTAATAAAAATCCTCGGGCTGTGGCCCACAGGCCATCAAAGTTTGAGTTTCTCCGATAAGATTAACATGGGGTAATCTAAATAATGGTATTTATTTATATAATGTATGTATATAATGGTATTTAATTGGAAACTTTGTCCCCGATAATTTGAGAGAACGGCTGGGCGTAGAAACTTGGTAGAGGTGTCCAAAGAAAGGTCTTGGTCTGTAGATGAGTTATCAAAAGAAAAACTAAGCAAAATCCCTTAGGACTCTGCCCCAGAAGCCTTTAAAGATCCCTTCACAGAGTTGTTTAAATTTTGGCCATGTGAATAATACTTTTTAATGAAACAGCTGTTCATTTTTAAATTGTATTTCAAACAACACACATTTATTGGGAGTTACTGAATTCTACCAAATAAGTATTTGCAATGTTATTTTCTGATTTTAAAATTGATTTTCTTCTTTATCATGTCATGTTTTGCAGTATAACGTAATTCCATTACGAAATCAGTGGAAAATCCTTTTATCACAGCAAATCTTAAATTATTTCTTATTGAACTATCTTATATCTATTGTACGGGTTGGTGTCTGCTTTTTCATAACTTTTGCCTACACTTTATCATATTATTCTACACATATCCAATATCTATGTAAAAATAACTGCTCTTATCGTGTCTAATAAAATCCAAACGTAGAAACCTTGCCTAAAATGGTACCCATCTTGACAAATTATTTGCACCTGCCTATATTACGAACTTTGGCGCACTGGGTTGGTAACATTATTGAAAATAACACGACATTTTGGCTGTAAAATATGGTACAAAGAGAAAATACTATTTAAGCAGCTACTGACATGACATAAAGGTCATATTCCTTTTAAACTTGATCACATAATCATTTATAAGATACCTTGATTAACAATATGTAAACGTCAATTTATACGTAACAGCCAATTTACAGTATTTTTGCTTTTTGGAAATGTCCCATTGCTATGCCATTTGCATTATTTGTTGCCAATGAAGCTGCAAGACCATATGAACTAGCAGGCCCCTAACAGTTCAAGAGGCTGTTAATTAGTTATAAGCCGTGTATGATCAAGGAACACATGGTTTTTCCGATAATTAAAAAGGCTTAACACATGTTTTAAAATGTCGTTGTAAAATATTGTTAAAATGTTGTTGTGGCTGTAGCCAGCCTCTCAAAAGTGCATGTCATTAAAGAGGATTCACAGACAAATACTGTATAATAATGTGTGGATTGAAAGCACAGTCATTGATTCGAAAAAAATTGCGACTTATCACTCTTTCATATTTGTAATTATGACATTTTATACCACCAAAAAGATTATCAGGATTTAAAGTCAACGCAGTATGTTAAAACTCACAAAAAGCCTGTATTGTTAATATTTAACTTGCACTACTTGTTAAAAACTGAAGCTCTCGTGCTTACTTTTTAAAACGTTTATTTCATTCTGCTTAAGCTTTACTGTTGCTGGAAAATTCAATAGCAGCTTATCACAAATGTGCAGGCATCCAGGTTATATTACTCAGACGTTTCACAGTGTATTATCCACAGTTTCCTACTTACGACGTGGTATTATTAGGAAAATTGTATGGAGAAAAATGGTTATGGATGTTGCATTTGCTGTCAAGCTTAATTCTTCACCGACTATACTAGAATATATCGCTTACTTTATATCTATACATTAATAGGCAAGCATGTTTCTTAAAAAAAAAATCTCAGCTCGTGTGCATCGAAGGAAAAATCTACGCATACTGTTATATATATTTTCCTCTAGTGTGCAGAATCCCTTTAAATTAAAATAGGCAAAAAATAAGCAAAAGAAATGAAATAAAAATTTTAAAACATTACATGGGCCTTATGGGTTGCTATGGTAGTGATGAAATAACAACGAAATAAAAACATAAAATTAAAACAAATGGAAGACATTCCAATCACATGTTTTCGTAAATTTACAGAGTGGTGAAAATAGAGAAATACATTACATATTTTCGTTGAGTTTTTTTTAGTTTTCGACCACTAGATGACCTCTAGTTATTATTATTTTACAATCAAATTTGTCTAATGAGAACATATCGTCATAGCATATACAAACGAATTAAATTATGTTTTAGGAACTGCTAGTATCGTTAGGTTATGATTTAACACTTTATATACTTTGTTGTCTACAGAAGAGATAAACTTGTCATTTATCACAGAAAGATGCATAGTGTGTATGATCCAGGCTGTCTCCTGACCCTAAATTTTCCTGGACTAGCTCGGACCCAAAGTCTGCGATATCCTCTCGGCTGTTTTACTTCAAACTTTTCGCGTCCTACTAGCTTCAGTAACTTTTTCACCCAAGTCATGATTTCCAAAATACCATTTTATATTTACATAAAAAAGATAAGATCACTGATACTGAACAAGAGTGAATTAGATTGAGAAATAGCAGTATAGAGGTGAATATAAATACAGTAAAGAAACATACAGGGTTAGTAAAAAGTGTGGAGACCCCCTGTTATTTTTTTAACGGCCAAAAATCCCCCATACTAGAAAAACTAAACTCGGCACACCATTATGGCATGTTAAGAAGTACTTTTTGGGCATAACCGCCACTTGGTGTTTATCCCCAAAATGGGGGATTTTGGGGGAAACTCAAAAATTTGTAATGATAAGCCACATCGAGTGACCCCTCATTTTGAAGGTCATAATAAAAGAAAACCAACAACGCAAACTATTGGTCTCTATCTTAACACAGTAAAATATGGCAGCCAATTGAATATAAAATTGCATGTTATTTCCGATTTCTAAAGATTTCAATCAGCTTCCATTTTTTACTGGATTGAGATAGAAACCTCTAGTTTGCGTTGTTAGTTTTCTTTTATCAGGTCCTTTAAAATGAAGGGTCACTCGATGGGGCACACCATTTAAAACTTTTGAGTTTTCCCCAAAATCCCCCATTTTGGGTTTGGTAAGCAAGTGGCTATTAGGCTTAAAAGGTACTTCACAACATGCCAAAAAGGTGTGTAGAGTTTATTTTTCTTAGTGTAAGCCGCTACAAAATTTACAGGGGGTCTCCAGACTTGGAAAGCTGTAAGTTAAATTTAACTTCTGAGAATTTTAATTGGCTGCCATTTCTTACTGGATTGGGATAAAGACCTCTAGTTTGCGTTGTTGGTTTTCTTTTACCAGGACCTTCAAAATGAGGAGTCACTCTATGGGTCTTTGTATTTGAAATTTTTGAGTTTCCCCAAAATCCCCCATTTTTGGGATATACACCAAGTGACGGTTATGCCCAAAAAGTACTTCATAACATCTCATAAAGCTGTGCCGAGTTTAGTTTTTCTAGTATGGGCCGGTAAAAAATAACAGGGGGTCTCCACATTTTTTACTAACCCTGTATATACTATACATGGTTTGTTTCTTAATCAATTTCGCCCTTATCAATGAAGTTATACCTTCATGTACTTCCCAAATCTTTGATGACAATTGGAAATTAAGACTTGGGTAAAAATAGCTACTGAAGATAGTTGGAAAGCTAAAAAAATACTTATAAGGACGAGGGGTGCAAAGAGTTAGGGTTTATAGCCCGGGTGGAGGGTCAAAAGACAGTTTCGATCCAACAACCTATATGTTGTTGAATGTTGGTTTTAGGAAATTACTGCGTCTATATATAATAATTGCCGAAAATACTTGCTGATGTTAAAGATGGACTACTTCAACCAATCCGGAAGAATTTACGCTTGGTTCACAACGTGATTATCCCTTGAAAACCAACATTAGACTGCCCACCAATCCTTGGCCTTGAGATTACCTTCTAGTTAACCATTGTTACCGTTGTTGTTGACTGATTGCCTTTGCAGGTCGTCTACAGAGATCCATGTCTACACAATGGCGACGGACCACTCAGGAGATGCGTCTCCGACACCTGGGAGCGAAGTCTCATCTGATCCTGCATACAACCATGTTGCGCACCCCAGTCTGCCCAGATCCCCGTGCAAATGGCAACTCAGTCTGCAGTTAGCACGGGCCCAGCCTGCCGCCCCTCCTAGAGCGACCAGTTTCAAGTACTAGTTTATAGGCGGCAGCACCTACAGTACTTGACCGTGCCGAATATAGGTCAAATGTGTCGTAGATTTAGGAAATTAGTGGAGATATGGTGAAGCTTTTGATTTCGTCTTGGGACTTGGATGAACTGTTTTTGATGGATAGTACGTGAAAAGGAAGAATGTAATGAATTCTGTATTACTTTATTGATTTCATTTGGGTGACCCAAATTGATTAAACCAAGAAAATTGAACTGCTATTGCGCCTTCGGCAATGCTTAACGTAAAAATGTTAAGAAATCGAAGGTTCGAAGTGTTACGCTTTATTAGGAACAAGAGAAAGAATAAGCAACTTTTTACAATCAACCATTTTAATATCCCCTGACGTCCTTTTTTGGTAAAATAGGATTCGTTTGTAATCCAAATCATGGTTAAAAACCGGTCATCTCTTGATGCGTTTCATGCTTTGAAAATGTTGAACATTGCAACTAGGTAAAAGAAAATACTTTCTCAGTTTAAGCTTCAATTTGGACTATAGACGAAAGTAATTTAAGCCTATTTTGTCTACTTTTATGTGGAAATCGGAGTTTTTAATTGTTGAGTCCGCTCATGCATTTTACTAAGATAATTAGATAAAAGAGAATTTGAACATTATTTTACCTCGTATTTTCCACCCAACGTTTTAATTCAATGTATATTCGCTTTTAAACGTAATAGTTTAGCTAGTCTACTTGCAGTCTTTTGTTATTAGCGGACCAATAATAACTATGTACAACTCTACAATCCCAAGATTTTTACAATTTTTACATCACACAGTTGTTATTTTTATACCTGAACAGTAATGGGTGTTGTTTTATTAATTATTATTATGTACATGTATTACTAAGTAAACAATTTTATTTGTTACGTGAAAAAAATAATGATTTTATATACGTCAATTTCTTTTGCCAAATATAGGTAGGCCTACATAGAAGATTATAAAGGGTCATTTAAGTTGATTAATTTAACTGTAAACAATTTGAAAATGTTTATGCTGTTTGATTAATAACATCGAAAATTATAGGCTAAATGCTCAACAGTGCTGCCTTTTCTTACCTGGAAAATGTAAATCGAGGCGTTGAATGAAATTATGATGAATCTTATTTCTTTGGTGGTTAAATATTCTTTTAGAATTATAGTTCACTATCATTTAAAAAATCTCATTGATAAGCTAATTTAAAATTCAGTATTGTAAGAGATATTTTATGTTAACAGTATAATAGGTTTATTTCAAACGCAATGCTTACAGTGAAAACTATTGCAATTTAGTTACATCGTGATTTGAACTATTAGACAAATACAATGAACCCCTATTACTATTTATATTTTTTTAATTATTATGAATTCAGAGATTCATGACAATCTTAAAATCAAAACAACCATTGTTTTATCAAATATTAAAAATATTTTGTTATTATTCAATAAGTCGATTAAATTGGTATTTATTGATTTTTAATGTATCCATGTAAAATAAACTAGGGTTTTGAAGCAAGTGTTATTTGGTTAGATATATTGTTTACTTGGTGAATTAGTAATTTTATTATATACTACATTCTACGAAAAGGTCGTTTTTATTCAGATGGTCATGGTGTATTATTATTGTTAGTATTAGCTAGATGGTCTGTCAAAATATTATTGTTTTTTATCCCAAATGATATGTTTTGTTCAGATAATAAAAACCTTGTTATATGAAATGAAAAAAAATTTAAAATTGTGTCTCCCGAATATTGTTGTGTTGTTGATTCACAAGTTTGACACTACAAGCCGACCACTGCAGAAGTTAAACAAAATAAAAATTAGTTATATTCTAAAAAGTATGTATATTTTAAAGCTTAAAGAGCATAGATCAAATATGTTTATTGTTTATAATAATTCATTTTAGAATTACGAGTACTACTAATAATTATAAATATAGGGTACAATTTAAATGACACTACCTAAGTTTTCCCAAATACTTCAATTCTGTTTATAAAGCCCTATTTGTTACGTGTTGTTGATACTTTTTAATGCATTTTTATTTATAAGGTATAACACTATTGATACAAATCTGAACAAAACATGGTGTAACATCTCAAAACGTAAACCTATCAAACTTTAAAATTAGTTATATCTCGCATCAGAACGGTACAAAAAAATAAAATTATAAAATATTGTCTAGTTACGTAGTTCCTTAAAGCAATCTTTAGCTTAATATTTTGGCTATCCTGGTTTAATCTAACGAATAACCTTGAGATCGGAGGCTGTATTATGGGCAAAGACTTTAATTGAATTATTTTGCAACAATGTAAATCTATATTTGCTGACTGTGATATTGTAAAAACGTAAGTATTTAATGTTAAACGTAGTTTTCTTAGAGTGTCTTCCTCGGTATGTGGATAACTTAAACCTGTCGAATGATCAAACATTTTAATGTGGGAGGAGAGGATTATTATTATATTTTAGTTAGATATTATATAGTTCTATACTATATTTTACATGAAGAATATAGCTTCCACCACAAAATAATCTTAGTTCATGTTTAGTTAGTTTTTTACTGCGCATTAACAAGCTGCCCAACCATTGTCTTCCTTTGGAAATAGAAAGTGTTGATTTTAATTTGAGGGGGTACAGATACTTACTAATATTGTTAAAATTTAAATTTTATCTTAAGAAATATTTGGTAATGTCAATAAAATAGTATTATATTTCTTGAGTAATGTTTAATCCTTCCTATCACAATCCCACTTGCCAAAAAATAAATGAAACAATAAACCCTGATTTATTTTAGTACTCGTTAGTATTTTTATTTTGTGTAATCTAGAGATGAATGATTTTGTGAGTACAGGTAAAATAGCATTTGGTAAAAAATTGTCTTTTAAAAACATCCTTTGGCTTTTGGCTTATCGTGATACTAAGACCAATTCAGTGGTTCTACTGTTTTCTTTGGATTTATTTATTTATAGTTTGTTATATTATTTAATTGGACTTTTCCAACGAGTCTTGTGTTTTAAACTACACAACGATTCTGAAGGTGGATAAAATCGTCCTGTTATCAAGTGATAATATACTATTGCTCCAGCTTCATGAAATTACTTTAAGTTTATCTGTAAGGTTGTAAGTATAGCAATATATCAGCAGTTATTCGTTTCAGAGGGTATATATTTTTCAAATGTTGCTTTATTATTTACTTCATCTTTTTATTGCTGTATATATGTTGTAAATAGTTCTTTTTCAGCAAAAAGTTTTTGTGACTCGCCACCTTTGAGGGTCAATTTAGTTTAACGTAGCATTAGTATATTTCACTTGATAACGGGAGGAGTTTATCCACATCCAGAAACGTTGTATAGTTTAAAACGCAAGACACATTGGAAAAGTCCAATAAAAAATATAACATGTTAAAAACCAACGTCATTATGAATTTTTAAAACTCTGGATTTATATTCATACAAATATGTGAATTTCTGTTGATTTATGTATTTCACCGTTATAAATTCAACGACTCTAATTTTGTTTGGCCTATTAATTAAATTGATTTAGCAGTTGTAGTAGACTAGGTCCCGGACTTTTACGACTTTACAAAGCAATATTGACTGTCGATTTCTACAAAACAATCACGTTTCTCTAAACGAAGCAATTAGTAGAAGCAATAATGCCAAGCTGCAATTAAGTGGGGACAATTTGTAAGTTCAAAATTGATGTCTCTTGCTTACTCAAGCCTCTCAGTCTTTCAGTTCATCAAACACAGTTCTCCCTCTCAAAGAGTTGTTCTTTTGTGAGGAGTCATTACTGTTTCACAAAAAGTAAAATGACTCAAACATCTATAGTTTGTTTAAAAGATCTTGATAGATTCATGAAAGCTAAGTTTATTCCTACGAACTCTTTTGTTTGGCAACGACGAACTTTGATACAGATCCTATGAAAGCTACATAATTAACTTTTCCATTCATATTAATGAATATGAATACCTTTTTACTGGCCATATTTTCCCAAACTATACTATACTATACAAACTATAATATAAAGTTCATTTCACTGGTATTGAATTTATGACATTTAAAAGATTATTGTGCACTTTGATGCATAATGGTTAGTTAATAACACAAATTATTCACAACGGAAGTATCTTCACATTGATACACCTGTAAACAGTACGCAAAATAGTTAATTTATGCTTCATTCAATCCCACTCACTAAATCAGCTGATTTCACAGTTGGAGCTTCTATAAAACACTAACATCTGGTAAGGAAATGACATAACCTTAAAAAGCAAACACAACCTACGAGTAAATGCCAATTTACATACAACTCAAACACATTAACTTTTTACTAAAAAGGTAACGTGTTTGTTATAATACATAAATTATGGTGATATGAAACTCATGTTTATTAAAAGGACAGTAATTGTCGCTCTCGAAGTACCTTAAGTGGCAATGACGTACTTTGTGCTCCAGCTACTAATATAACAGGAATAATACAGGAACAGGAACCCATCTAAAGCTGGGGAAAACACAACAGAAAAACCACATAGAGAACTTAACAGTTCTAAAAAAAAATGCTTTAGTAATAAAATAAAAAAGTATCTATCCCGAAATTCTGTGAATATTCCTTGTAGATTCCTTATTTTGTACTATATGTAAAAAAGGGCTTCTTAAAATGGAAAATAAGAAAACATTACCATAAATAACTAAACAAAGTAATGTAAATAGGAAAAAATACAACAGTATACACATTTTGAAATATAAATTCAAATTATCCATTTAGCTTAGAAATCCATCCGATCTTTATGTTATGTTATTTGTAAAGGTATTTAAAAGTTGATACATTTTATATTGTAACGAGGGTTGTTTGTGTCAAGGGTTGCTAGGGATATTCGATACCCAAAGGAGATTTTCAGTTCGTCCTTGTGCAGCTTGTTAGTCTTTGAGAAACAAGAAACTCGAGTCCCAAAATTGACCATTGATCACAGAACATGTCTTTTGACCTCGTAAAATTTTGTGCCGGTAATTTTCAGGTTGATTACTAACAATGCATAAAATAATATAGCATTAAAGTTTGTTAGTGTTGTAATGACAAAATATGGAACGTTGACACGTTTAAAAATAAGTTCAAATTTATATCTTCAACAATTATTAAAATTGTATATGAGTTGATTATTGAAAATGGTTTTTTTGGAACTTATGAGTTGTTTTGACGGACTA